CAAAACCAGGCACACACAGACCTGGCTCCCCCCCCCGGGCAGTATCTGTGAGGTTAAACCATTCCTGGGGCTGCCCTCCATAACGGCACGAGTCCCAGGAAATCACAGCAAGGGAATCCAGCTGTGAAAACAGCAATTACCTGACCTATCCCCAATTAATGATGGTATCGAAAATCAAATGAGACGTACCCGTGCGTGCCGGGTCCCGAACCCCCTTTCCTGGCACCCAAGCGGCGCTGCAAGACGGACAGAGCCCAAGCAGGGGGCACCTCTCCTTGGGGGCACACGGGGTCCCCAGGCTACCACCCGCAGCGGCTGCTCCGACCAGCAGCTCCAAGCGAGACCCACACCCCCACACCCCCCGGGAACCCCTGTTTTGGTGCCGCTCACCTCAGTAACCCGCAAGAAAAGCCCCCGCCAGCCCAAACCTCGGGCACAGCCCCTGCTCTCCACCCAGCTCAGGGTGCCCTTACCAGGTGCTGCCCCAGCACTGCACCGCCCGTCAGCCAGGGACGGGGGAGGAAATACAGGTTTTATGGCATTTCTGCTTATATTTCCTGCTGAAATTACTGTTTGCCAGGGTCAACATTTCCACTGTTGCCCAACTTGCAAGCACAACCCCTTGCAGAAGCAGAAGGAAGAAGAGACTCCCATTTGGGGGGAAAAAAAAATAAAAAAAATTTGCAACACAAGCTTGGTCTCTCAGGTGACAGGGGCTAAGGTCAAAGCACACACATAATCCACCGCTTGTAAAGCTGTTGCTCTACCTCCTTATGGCAGGGATGTGCCTCTGGCTGCCCGGTACAAAGACTACAAGGTGAAAGAGCTGCGAGACCGAAACCTCCCCCTGAGCCAACGTAACAAAAAGATGCAAACGAAACGCAATCAGAATTGGTTTCTGAAATAACATTTTCTTTATCGGTCAGGTTTAGAATTAACTCCTTCCCCCACATTACGCCGCCTTTGGCTTTTGGCAGCTCGTCCGTACGGCACCTGAATGGCAAAATACAGCACGTAGATTGCAAAGGAGAAATTCAGATCAACTTAAGATTTCCCCCGCTGCCCTGTCCTCCAGCAAAAAGCCACCTTCCTCTTTAATCCTTCCCCATCCCCCTGTAGTCCGGGTAAGTTATCTTCAGCACAACCCATCTGACTTCTGCTTCCAAATCTCGCTGGATTCCTCTTTCCTCTACTAGAGAGCAGAGCGCGGCCGCAGGACCAGCACAGCGAGGGTGTGAAACAAAGCTATAGTTTACATCTCTTATTATCTTCATGTATAGACAACCGCTCCGTACCCAACAAAGTAACGTTTTATTATTCATCTGCCAAAAAAAAGAAGCGCTGGCTTAAAAAGTATTACATGTGAAGTGTGGCATAACACCAAAATAAAAAATAAATGGGGGTGAGGGGGAGTGAACAGGAGTACGGCAAAGCCGGAGCACGGCAAAGCCGGAGCACGGCAAAGCCGGAGCACGGCAAAGCCGGAGCACGGCAAAGCCG